AGCTAAATTAATCAGAATTATTCAGAGCCCAGTGGCCACATACACTACACCACAGACATACATATTCATAACAGTGTGTTTGGTCAGCAACACACACACACACACACAGCGAGACCACAATGTTACAGCAGAAAGCAGTTTGTAGACGACAGGTGAAGTAATAGGATTTTGTCCAAGGAGAGAGGGAGCTAAACGTCTTGCTGAAACTCACTGGCAGCACTAGAGGAAAGACAAAGATAGAGCGAGAGAGGGGGAGGAAACCTGTCACTTCCATATAGACCTGGTCTGTCAGCCACCTTTTTTTCTCCCAGACATACCAGTCAATCTATTCCATCTGAAAAGCTCAGGAGAGAGACTGTTACTGTATATAGACAGAGGTTTATAAACAAGGCTACTACTAGTACGTTTAGAGAGGTTTTGAAGGTCATGGCTTGACCCGGTGTTTGATATAGGGTTAGAATCTTTAGATTGGCCACACAACTGAGAACAAGCTCACAGATACACACTTGTAAACCAACAGTCATGTTCACAGGACAAGCTATTTTTATGAAATGGACATTCTGTGGTAAAGACAAAAGGAACCAAGACCTAATTACCTATAAGTGTTTGTTAGAAACCTGTTGAGAATATATCATTATTATTTTTCCTACACTGTGTTGTAATTCCATTTCTGAGAATGAGTTATTACATTTTTTGTCTTATATTTTCCATTTACCCCATGTTACTTTCTATGGCTCTTTTATTTTTATTTATTTTTGTTTTATTCCTATGTCTTTCTGAATTATGGAAATGTGAAAATATTTCATATTTATTAAAGCAACAACATGGAACTTTTCCTCTTTGGACTCCATACTGGTTGGAAACGAAATTGTCCATAACCGCTGACGTAAATAATTTAGCCTACGGTCACACACACACTCGCTGTTTATCCACCATTGTGCCATATTGTGGCCTAATGGTTAGATAGTCGGACTTGTAAACCGAAGGTCTCGAATTTGATAATCAATACCGACAGAAAATAACTGAGGTGCCCTTGAGCAAGGCTGCTCATAGCTCAGGGTGTGTGTGTGTGTGTGTGTGTCCACGTTTTGCAGTGTACGTGCATGTTCAGTACTCACTACCCTAACTTGGATGGTTTAAATGGACAAATTCCAAGTTTGGGTTACCATACTTGGCCTTCGCGTCCCTTCACTTAACTATATTAGTAATGACATTGCTTAGACTTAAACTGAATTTATATCAGGTCAATGATATTTGATACATCACCTCAACTCAACTCGTACTCCCAAACCTACCCATCACATGTGCAAAACATTAGATTTAAATAAATGCATGTTTTGGCTAATTAAGAAGCCTTTTTGTGAGGACCAGTAAAGTTGTCAGTCAGCTGTCACAATATTTCACTATATAAGTGAGGACATTTGGCTGTCACAAGTATATCCAAACCTGGAGACACACACAAAAACACACCCAGAGAGAAAAGACCATGACTGGGTCAGTTTACTCTAAAAGCATAGTCTGTTTTCTGTTTATTCTCAAAGCAGTAAACCGCGAACGGACGTTTAGTCTGGAATAATGGGTCTGACCTAGGCAAATGAGCCCACGTGTGTGGCTCTTCTTAGTGCACTTTTAGCTCTCTAGTCCAATAGACTTCTTTAAAATAACCTTTTACAATACTAGTGCTAGAAGCATGAATTGAGCTAAAAAAATGTAAAGGCTCCCTTTCTTCCTGAACTCTAACTAGATCAGGTGTCAAACCGCATTGTGTTTAATATACAGCAAGTTTACATTATAAAACACCAATAAAATTCTTTCCATCCAACTGAGAGGAAACTGAGAAAGCATTATTTAAATATCAGCACCTCCGAATCACCAATCATGGACAATTTATTCTCAATCAAGCTGCAGATTGGATGACCGAGACAATTCTCCTGTCTGAAAGAGCAAATCAGAGAGACTTTGACTGAAGTGCATGCTAGCATTACCCCGCTCAATAAAGTAGTAACGGCTATAATTATTCTTTCTTGCTTTTCCTGCGTGGTTAGGATATTCGGGTGAAAACGTCCATGTGTGTGTGTGTGTGTGTGTGTGTGTGTGTGTTTGAAACAATGACTCATGCTAACCACCAGGGGGAAGAATAATGAGGCGAGAACACAGTGAGAGAGAAACTGTTTTGAGCGGGTCAGCTGGGGATTCTAATGTACACTGGTGTGTGTGTGTCCCCACCCACTTGCGTTGCTCGAAACACACAAACAGTTACTTTATATTTTTCATGGCATGATGGAGCTGTGGTGTTCATTCTATACTGGTCAGCCGTGTTTCCCAGGAGCTGTTCCTGCTATTCTGAGACGGAAGGTCACAAGAACACACTCCTAAGGTAGGGACACACCAAACAGACGCCAAAGACTTAGTGCTGATGAAAGCCAACCATGTCACATGTGTCGGGGAAGAAAAACCTGCTTGAACACACCGACAGGACTACAGTCAGCTGTCAGCTAGCATGCACGTTCTGTGCCTGCGTGTAAAGGAGATAACGGTCTATTTAAGCAGAAATATTTGTTTATTTTTGCCATTCAAAAAGGGCAAGCGAAACTGCAGGTATACAAACCATAAACAAAGCAGCACTTGCTTACCATTTTGAATATCAATCAAGCCGATTCCATTCCGCTCTTTATAATGAAATTATTTGCAAATGGAATGCTCAGGTAGGGGTGTGACAGTTATTATATAACCGTGAGACCGACAGTTCGTTGAACACCTACATTCAAACTCTATAACCATCAAAACCGTGTTTTTAAAATCTTTCAGATAAGGTTATAGAGTAACGGATTACATGTACCATTGTTATGTGTTCATAATACAAATTAAGAGTAGCCTAACTTAGTCTCCACAGAACATAAAATATTCATTTTATTTTATTTTCCGCGTTCGCATTTGAGGAAAAAACAACGTTACGGACGTGACAGTTCTCGAATAAGGATGTAACCACTCTGAACGCATTAAAACTTTTCACAGACAAACAAAAAGCACAAAACCTTTCTTTAAAGTGAATTTCAGTTTATATTAATCGTATCTTAATTTTAATCTATGTTTCATCAACCAATTGCCTAGATTTAATAAATAAGAATTAAATATTGCAGACGATAGATAATCACGAAACAGAGGCGCCGGCGCATGAAGTGGAGCTCATCTCATAAATGAACAGAAATTCAGCATATAAGGTAGCCTACTTGCCACAGTCACAGACATGTCTACTTTTAAAAAGACAAATTCAAGACAAAAGAAAACAGACTACAGACTGCTCTCTACTTATGTAATCTCTATCAAATATGCATTTCTCTCTGGCGCGTTCACTACTGCGAAGATTGCGTGTCAGCATCGTCAACATTTGGCCGACACTGACAAAAAAACAAACACTTGTTTAATAAACCATTAAAATAACTCCTTGCTATATTTTACATACTCATAAATTAATCACTACTTTTGCCGGTTCTTTGTGACAGCTTTTAGGTGCTTTATTAGCAGTGCCAGCATGTTACATGAACACATAACCACAGGATTACCCTACCTACCAGAAAAGGTCTTTTATTTTGGCTAGTTTTTTTTTTTTTTTGCTTTTTTCACTGGTAGTTGACTTGCTGTTCATTTTAAATCAACATAGAGCAAGTAGCCAATCAGTGTCTGCTTGTTTATTCAAACTGAGTTATCCTATAACAGACGTCAGAACGTCGTCGCAATACATTTCAGAATTGTGTATAAATATATTTCTTAAGTAAAGTAGCAATCATCACGCAAAGTGCTTAAAAGTAAAAGCCAATTTAAAAAGTAACATTCTGCACAAAATTAAGATAAGCAGAGCAGTAGTCTCCATCATAATTAACTCTGCTTCAAATTCTGAGAAACCTGGGGTTACGTGTGTGTGTGTGGGGGGGTCCACTGGGACGCATGGGGTGGCCTTTATCGGGCCGTCAGAGGGAAAACGCATTTCATGCTCTGCTGACCCCCTCTTTTCTTTCTCTTTCCCTCTCCCTTGTCCACCTAGCAGAAGAATTAGGCAGCAAAATTGCTCCCTGTGTGACATGGCCACCGATGTGTGTGTTTTTGTCTGAGAATATGAAAGAAATGTCAAACTACATTATGTGCGCTGGTGGAAACACTTCTCAAACATCTCAAACGCACAATAGAAACTAAAAAGAAGATCCTACTCTAGTACTAGAGCATGGCCTGTGGCATTCCGGCACCATTCCCAGCTCTCTACAGGGGACTGATACTGGAAAAACTACTATTGTTAAACTAGCTTATGACAGGGAGTCCTTATTTATTCCCAAATTTCATGTTTTCACCAGGAGTAAACCACCTCAGATTTCATCAGTCACTGTAACTGTCAATCACATGTCTCTGTAGCAACAGTCAATCACTGTGCTTGATTCTAAAAGATGGGTAACATCTAGAGTTGTCAAAAAGTACAGACTTGAGTGCTGAAATAATAAAAAAAAAAAAGTTACGATACAGCATTTTCAGCCGTTGTGTTGTCACACTCAACATATGTCTGTGATTGGCCATTGTATTGATGCGCTCAACATATATGCCTGTGATTGGCAACAATGATCAACTCTTCAAAAAGATCAACTCTTTCCACACGAGAGCATCGCGGATACCTAATCGAAGATAAACCGCTGATAAACGGATCCGCTGATAGACGCCCCTTTCAAACGCTCCTGTGTGTATCTGTGCAAGAGTTTGATGAAAAGCGCCAAAGAAAACATGTTTTTGAAGAGTTGATAACTGTTGCCAATATATGTTGAGTGTGACAACACAACGGACAATCAGAGGTGTTTTTAAGAATCTGTTCAACAACGCTCAAAATGCTAGAGGCAAATGCTGGTTTCACCAGATTTTCTAAACTTCAGTACCAACTGGGTACCAAAGTCGTTACCTTTGACAACTCTAGTAATATCATGAGACAGACAAATTTTAAATTTAAAGTATGTGAGACTCACATCTGGGTACTCTTTGACCGGTACAAAGAGTTTCTCCTGCAGATGTACGATGGGTCCCATTGGCTCGGGTAACTCCAGTGGGTGCTTGTCCACCAGACCGTTCACTGTGTCGTTATACATGTCTTTCCTCACTCTGGTTATCTCTGCAGGTAGACAAAAAAGACAAACAGATCAGAAACCGCTGAATGAGAGAAGGGGGAAAAAAAGAGGAACGGGTATAAAAATGCAACATTGCGTTCATTAACATGAGATTCCAGCACATATCCCCTAAATTCAGTTGCCAAATTTCATTAAAAATTTTACATTTTATATTTCACGGTAACAGAAACTCGCATGAACATATTGAGATCTTTTAAACAGAGACTCTTTCAAAGCTGAGAGCCCAAGACTTCCGTTGCCACAACATGATTAACCTCAAAATGTCCATTCCTTTCACGCATATACACACACACCACCTTCCCTCATGATCATTCCCTTCATCACACACAGAGGCTGTGTTTTAAAAACTAGTGAGCTAAATGAGCTGATAGTTAGGGTTTGAAAGCCAGATGGTGAAGCAAACACACTTTAATAGAATTAAAAAGCTAATAGGAAATCTGATACCCAGAAAAGTTGTTGAATGATTGTGACCTTTTGAAACGGATTGAGAATCAGGCATGCAAATACAATACTAAGTGTAGTCATGGTGGTTGAAAAACATAAAATGAACAGTGTGCTATATTCCTAGCATTTTTTAAGTTAAATGATAGCCTTGATTGATGAGCATTCAGGAATTCAGTCTGCTGCTCTCAAATGTCATTCACTTAAAAGTGTGTTGAAAGTTTGGGTCACATGTCTACTGATGCAAACCCTTGCATTTTTACCTCTATGGCAGTACTCACTGAAAATGCAACGGATTTGCAGCTTTCTCTGATAAGGTGCAAACGAGTGTGTGTAGGTGCATTGAAGGTGACTGTGGAGAACTGACTTGAGGCGGACTATAACACTGAAAATGTGCATTTGCGTGTTTCATGGGGCCCCAGAATCCTGGAAGGGGGTTGAAGGGTGACGCAACACCCAGATCAGAACAACAGCAGCTCAAGGGCCATGTAAGGGTGAAACCTTTAACACAACGTATCTTGTCTCATACATGCAATGAGTCCCAGAGGAGGTGACACAACTGCTGCAAGTATATTAGTCACATTTACAGAATTCAATCCATCTTTCTCTCTTGACCGGAGAGCAACGTCATATTCCTCCACCCTTCTCTTTTTCCACCCCTCAGTCTCACCCTCCATCTTTCTCACTCTAGAGAAGGAAGGATTTATCTCTGGTTCTCTGGAGTAAAGATGCTGCATGTCTGCATGTTTAATATTCTTGGACTGCAAGAGAGTAGGTTAGAGTAAAAGCAGGAATTAAAAAATTTTAATATCCTCGACTGAACTAGAAATGTGCCATGAACAAAAACGTGTTCGTTTAAATCTCCTCCCAGGCTCACACAGTATACATGCCTGTACATGGGACTTTTTAATATACTTCAAAAATAAACAGTATAAATGACAATCTACAGTAGAGTTCTCAACGGGCCTGAAAATTATTACCCGACCCGGCCCGTGGCTTTTAAAGCCCAGACCCGATGTAACTCGACACATCAACATGAATTATCTGCCCGAACCCGGCCCGACTTGGACGCGCTATATCTATTGCTGTTACGGCGTCTATTCATTCCAGTGAAATCACAAAATAAAATGCACACAAACTTAGCAAGATTGACTTACTAGTCCATCAACAAGATCGCCAGGTCAGCATCACCGTTGCATCCAGAGCTGCTTTTTAGCTCACGCCAAGGAGTTGAAAAGCCCGACCGAGTGGGACTCTTGTCAGGTTTCTCACTCGGTCAGATTCTCTTTTCCTTTTCCTAAACTTCCGACCATGTTTTTTTTGCTTTTTCTATCGTCTAGTAGTATCATGTCTGAAAAGCGCGCAAGTGCAGTGTTGACAACTATTTTCAAAGGAAAGTAGCTAACGCCATGCCTGCCAAAAATCTTCACACAATAGTAAATAAAAAGAACTCAAACAGCCAACCAGCGGGCAGGCTACGAGTTTTGAAACAAAATAGGCTTAGCCTACAAACATAATCATATGCTTATAATAGGCATCGTGGAGGAAGATCAGTGCAGTGGATGGACTGAGCCGTGTTCTCCTCTCGGCCAGCCACCCGCGATGCACTTTGCACGCAGCAGCCAGACTTTCTTTACGGTGAACAGCAGCGATGATTAATAATTTATTGACCCGACCCGAGTCATTTGCTTATATTTTCGACCCGAACCTGGCCCGAACCCGTGGGTCCCGTCGGGCCGACCCGACCCGTTGAGAACTCTAATCTACAGTACACATTACTTCATTTGTAACATTTTATATTTGCCTGTCTTTGTCTCAGACATACACACACACACACACAAAGCTCTTCTAAAAGCACTCTTTTAGTGTGCACTTAAAAAAGCCAATGAAAAATAGAAACTAAAGTGTTTCTGTCCTTTGGCTGAACGAGAGAGGCACAGTGAAATGCCACATTACCATAAAGTAGCGGCAAGAGAGTGAGCGAGTGATAGAGCACATGCCATTAACAGGCACAAACTCTGAGGTGAGTCCTAATTTCAATGTCCACAACGATGGTAGCCTAATGGTTAAGTACCTTGTTTGCCAGCACAACGGTCACAGTTTAAACTCAACTAAGGGGAGAGGCAGGAATGTGGAGAAGTGGTGAGATCAGATCCGGGTCTATTAAGCAGGACACTGAGCCCCACAATCGCTCAGTTTTCAGGCTGCTGGTCTGGGGGTTCAATAGTTCACTTATTTGATTATTACTTTACTCATTTTTTTTCTTTTAGTGGTCCACACAGATCACATTACAGTTTGAGACTTTTTTCGGGGTAACTTTGCTTTCCATTAAAAAAAGTTTTTTTTTACTGTCGATATTGATAGATGTAATGCATCCTTGTTGAACAAACAAAAAACAAAAAAACTTTTGAAAAGTAGTGTATGAAGGGCAACAAAGGGTGAATGTGATAAGAAATTGTATGTGGCAAGATCAAAAGAGAACATTCACTGATCTAACATTGCACAATATTGAAAAGCAAGGAGGAAAGACAGGCTTAAAAAAAAACCTATAAATGTAGGAATATCCAAAAAAATCTCTCTCCAGTCTTTTCACTGGCAATCCATCCACCAAAAGACCTCATGCAATTTCAAACTACTTCTTCCAGATGAACAAGAGATACTGGTCAAACAGTTTTTTTTTTGTTTGTTTTTTTTACTTTACATTTTCAACTTTCTTTACCACATAATCTTGCTGTTTGAGCATGAAAAACTATCAGTATGCACTTTCTGAACTCCCCAAAACGCTCTGAGTTTTCTTCTGGGAACGTAAACGTCCCAATATTCCTCATTTAAATAACGGACTAATATTTCATAATATTCCCTGCATTATGAAGAAAGGGAGAATGAAGCAGAGTTTAAAGAAACAGTGATTTCACTGGAACTTTAGTAGATGCTATACAAAAGGATGGTGAGCACTCAAAGCTCTTTAAGATTAAAATAAAAGAGAGAGAGGTGCTTGAGAAGAATGCCTGCTGATGTACAAGTTTTTCCACTTTGAAGCAATGAACTTTAGCTATCATAAAGCACAGCTAGCCTCTGCAGCCACAAGATTCCTGCTTAATGCATTTGCAGCTTTATTCAACCTGCAAACAACTATCTCAACAGACAAAATAATTCAGCACTTAAAACTTTCAGACAATGAAACAAAAGGATTCTTATGGGGGGAAAAGAAAACAGTATGTTCGAGATAGGCCTTCAGTCTTATCAAATGTCCACACCTTTTTTTAAAGAGTAAAATCCTTTGCAATTCAGTATATTTCACTGCTGCTGACGGCCAGCAACTAAAACTTCTTTCAGAAATGTTTGCATCATGCATGAATTCTATGAACTCAGCACTGCATTTCATGTTTTGGAGAGGAGAATATTTTCCCGCAGCATTAATGTGGCTCTTCCAGAGAAATATGCTGCTGAGTTTAAACAAGATGCAACAGCTTGTCAAAATCAGGTGATGTGAGCTTGTTTGCGTACGTACAACATGCAAGAAATTCTGAATTTCCTTGAAGCAGTCCAAGTTTCCCATGTCATGAATAAAGAATTAAACTTCTTTAAACCACTTGATATGGCAAAACATCATTAAGGAAACATGCTATATAGAATATAAAGAATAATTAAATAATAAGAATAAACCACAAGGTTCTGTATCCAAATGTCCATTCTTATAAGGAGCTAACTGGAGAGAGGGAGAAATAAACATGATCGAATAGAGTAGCCTAATATCCATTCTAATCTTAGCAAGGGCAAGAGAAGTAGTATGTAATCTACTAATCAAATATTACCAGCATTGACTGGTCTCGGGATAATTAACGGATTAAAAAAAATTGATCGCAGCTTCTTTCCTTTAAATGACTAGAGGGCCTAAAGTAAAAACTACTCAGAGAATCACAGTTTCTCAGAGACTGTTCTCGTACATATTAGAGCTGAATTTCATAAATAAACATTCATTATTTTGGGCATTGCCTCAGCTCCCTGTCAAGAGATAAAAAAAAGAAAACATGAATTTAGCTTCTGAGAAAGAGGAAGGGAGAGGTGAAAGTCAAACAGAATAATAATAAAAAAAAACTCTATCTCTCTCATTCAGAGCTTACATGGTTGGTGTAACCAAGCACCAAGTCACAAATGTAATAAGTTAGCAGAGACCAAACAACAACACTCCCACTGAATCCTACAAATTTATTGAAATTACTTTAACAATAATGTTTCCAGTTCCACTAAGATATATTTGCTTTTTTTCACTGATTCAAATCAATAACTCTTGAGTTTGACAATGATTACATTAAATCAGAAAATTCATAAAAATAAATTCTGTCATTCTGCCCTCATGTCGTACCAAACCTGCTTCTGAGGAACACAAAAGTAGATATTTTGAAAAATGTTGGTAAAGTTTTGATTGCCTTTGACCCAGAGATTTAATTTAACCAGAAGAAAGATAGTAATAGGGATTTTGAATGACATAAGGTTGAGTAAATAAATGCTAACAGTATTTTCATTTTTGGGTAAACTCAAC